ATTTCTTAGAGTGTTGCGAAATGCGAATCTTTGGGCGACTTCGCTCTTCTTCGTGCGGTAGTTTCTCGACTTTGCATCAGAGAATATCAGCAACTTATTTCGAATATTGTTTTCAAAGCCATCTCGACTTTAAATAATGCAAGTACGTTTAAAAACAAAATACTAATTTCCAAAGCCGGATTACTTCATTTATTACATCCAAAGTACTTCCTTCCAGGTTTAAATTATGTCGCAGGCAGAAACAACTAAGTATTTAACTCACAATACATTTACTGCTTAACGAGCTCACTTCTCTACCGTGTTATCGTCATCTTTCTGTTTACATTCCCCAGACACGAGATCGTAAGTCTGACTTATTTTAAACTACGACTTTTTAATGTTGGTAACCCGAATTCATTGCAATTTCTCGCCGAATTAAATCCCAGTAAATTCTAAATAAATGTCATATTCTGCGTGTAAACGTCCAACAAACGTTTTGCGTTACTGGTTTTGTTAGAGGCTTTGTCCTTCTTCTTTCTAAGTCCACGGCTACAACAAAGATTACAAAGCTGTGGACAACAATAGAACTGTGAATTTTCAAGAAAAATACAACCCTCGGTGAAAAACAAAAACATGCTGAACAGACTGAACAGATAATAAATTACCAACAAGGGGGGCCCTGCTATGAAAAATTGAAAACACAATGCATGCATAAAACTCAATTATTGTAAGGAGATAATAGAATTATTGCATGAATTACGAAAATATTTATATATCTACAATATATAATTATAACTTGTAACCAAATTGGTCTCTTGTACCAAAGATGCTACAATAACTCGCTTTTAGTTGGGAGGAAAAAAAATAAAACAACTGTATTTTTTTTTCTCTCTTAATTTGATGATATAATGTAGTGTTGAGTTGCGTACACCCATTTTTAGTGTTGTGGTTTTTACATTTCTGATAATTTCTTATTTTTTAAAGGGTTTTTCATGAGTAATTGGGAGATAATCAGTTTTCTTTCACTGAGGATCAAACTCTCTCTTTGCGACTTATACTATCGTAAGTCAACATCTTTCAATCGATCTCTAAAATTCTTCATGACATATTTAACGAGGATATACATGACCATAAATGTGTGCTTGTACGAGAAGAGGTTTATCAGAATTAGCTAAAAAAAAGTTCATCTCAAGGCCTTAGTTAATTTTTAATGCCTTCTCTCGAAGAAATTCTCCCACAGAAGCTTATCCTTCGAAATTCAGTCGACCACGGAGGTTACATCGCTACCAGATAAGATGTCTCAGGTGTGTTATGAGCATCAAGTCAGAATCATGTCAAAATAAAGACAATAAGACGCTAACAAATCAAGAGGGATGGACTCTGGATGCTTTTGAACTGACAATTTGTAGTTTTTGGCTGATTTGCGGGTTCTGACTGAAGCGATATCCAGACCGTATGCTCAAGTAAAAACACAGTAGATGATGGCCACCGTGGCGTTATCAAGGTTTTATCACATAATTGCGCCCCTTCGTCGCGTGCTGTTTCTTTTTCCATGCCACCCTCCTTAACCTTGAAAGCAAAGTGTCTGAGGACCCAATAGGAAAAGTGTTGAAAAGTTTTTATGCATCAAAATGGCTAGTGTAAGTGATTCACTTTTCTAATTAATTTTCCAAAAATTCAAAATGTGTCTTTATTCTCTGAAATAAAAGCAAATTAAAGTATTTCATTACAAACGTCTGGACGAAGAAATTCCCTTTTGATGGCCATTTTCGTTCTTTTATTCTACGTCTCCATCGACTATTCTTCGTTTTCCTGTGCATTTTCCCCGATTTTTACTTTGTAATTTCCCGCTTTACCGTTTTGTGTTCCCAGTTTTCTCTTTTCTGCTCGAACCCTCTTTATTGCTTCTCATCCACCGATACTCGTTTCTCGTTCATTATTTTCCGACCTCTCTTATTGGTTTCTCATCTTCCTCCACGATCTTAAAATTGACAACAAGAAGAAAATACTTCAACTTACCTTCTCCATCACTACAGAAACAAATTAACTATGTTCCAATACAAAACTTCGCAGGATTTATTTTTTACTACAAGCAAATTATTTAAAGCTAAACTTGCGGGCGGCGATCTTTGTTATTTACGCTCATAAAAAAAATACAAGATCTAAAGCATGTACTAGATTCATATCCGGTGGTATCAGAGTTCTAGAAAATCTCTCTGGATGGGTTTGAGACTCCTACAGCAATAAATTGGAATAGACCTTTGATTTGGAGTGAGGCTGAAAGTGACCTTGTTGAGATAGAGACCAGTATCTAGTTAGCATGATAAAATAAGAAATTTGCATTTGAAAATCAGCAACGTTTGTACCATAAAAAGGTCAACCTTGGCCTCACTCCTGTTCAAAGGCTTGGCAGCCAAGCAGGTAAATCTTATGAATAGTATCATTAATAACGACCGCCTCACGCACCTTTTACTACTTGCGAAACACTGTATATACTGTTGTAATAGATATGAAGAACCTATTTATTTTAGTATATATCATATATACTAAAATCAAAATGGTGCAGCTTAACGAAGCTGAAATAGAAAAGCCGTATCAACGAGGACTTACTAAGTTGAACGTACTATCAATGGAAACCTTCAATTGACAAGAAGTATGTAACTTACAGACGTCTTTTACTTTTCTTCCGTAGATTTTGTATGATTAATCTCGTACAACCGCTTGGCCGTGAAAAGGTTTAGGTATAATACTATCGTAGGATTTAACGTGACGTTTTTGCAAATTGTAGTAAAGAATATAACTACCTATTTTTCTTTTCTGGTACTTCATTGAATTGTAAGATGTAAGTATGGTAAAGATAATGGAGATATTTTTAATGATATTAAAAAAAAAAAAAAAAAAGGAAAAGGAAAAAATATCCTTCTATGATGGCCAAAAATACTCGTACATGTCCAAACGAAACACGCTGTTTAATATACTTCAAAACAAAACGAAACGAACTGAAGAATCGAAGCAAATTGTAGAGAACAATTGAAGTGGTTGCTAAATTAAAATTGCAAATAATAAGTTACTACAATTAAACGTAAAGAAGTTGGCAAACGGGAAAACAAATGAAAATGACAACAAAAGACACTAACAAACGTTGTACGAGATCCGGAGAAAATGGCTGGCGTAAAACGATATAAAATGATTTAAAGCGATGGAGAAAAATGATCCAGCACAGATAAACGATAAATCCGAATGAATAAAGTTTACGGTAAAGAACTTATACGGATAATACAAACATAGAGAAATTGTGCAAACAAAAAAAAAAAAAAAGGTAACAGAATATCGTGGAAGTAATGCACGTGAAAACAAACAACTTAGTGAAAATGCGACGGATGAAAAAAAAATTTATAACGAATAACGTCAAAATGACTTTTGACGGCAACGCCTTCATTTTGCGTTCGTTTCTGTCCTCGCTCTCTATTCTCCGTTTTTCGCTTTCCCCACCCGTGTTAGACTTGGCTTAACTGAGTTGATAGGCCAAAACTTACAAGTTGTTTGTCGAAGACAAGGTCGTAAAATGGTGAATTTTGTCTTACGCTTGGATTTGACTTCCAAGATTTATTATGAATTTTATTGTGTATTCACTGAGTTGTAATTTCGTTACCGTTAGAGCACAGA